AGTCACTATACTAAAAGACACAATCCAGAATAAAAACACAACAGCCAGTAAACACCTTGCGTAACTTTTCTCCATTAATAGACACCATTTAAAAATTTCAGACTGGACTCAAAATTTTGGATTAGAGTGAAGCAAAAATCCGAACCAGTGCGATTCTAAAGATACCTAAATTAAATTTTGGGTCATAAATTCTCGCTCATTTAATTAAATAAATTTTCTCCAAAAAGATAAGACTTAGTCTAAACCGTACATGAGCCCGGCCCGGCCCGGCGGGTGGCCCGAGTACCCGTGTGTAGTCAAACCGAAGGCATGTAAGTGATCGCTTCGCTCATAAAATTTTGGTACCCCTTGGGGCTCAATCCCATAGGGCAAACTTAGCCTATATATGCTCATGTTGAATTTCTTCCTTAACCAATGTGGGATTGATGTCTAATCCCACATTGCACTTTCTTTATTTTCATATTTCAAGTGGGTCACTTGGAGCCTATTTTCTCATTCATTTCTTACTCGATTTGTGCATGTGAATATACTACATTATTCTCCTCACAAAATAGAATCCGAATCCACAAAATTTTATTCAAAATAACTATCGGTCCCACTTTAATTTAGGCTCAAATTCGATTAAAAATTCAATTTTTACACTATTTTTTTTTTGGTCCAACAAAAGGTAGAAGGATTTTATTACATAGCAGGAGAAGAAACATCAAGAGTGAATATACTAACAATTAAGCATAAAGACAACCCGAATGATCATTCACTCTCATCACCACCACCTTTTTCTTTTTTATCCCTTCAAAGCCAGAAGCACCTTCCCACGTGCCACGCCCCCTTTCTTTGGGGATGTTTAAGTGCAAGTCTGTCTGCCGAGTGACAATCTAGCTTTTGAACACCTTTTTGTACAAGCTTTTGATTGACATATTTAATAGTATCCTTAGTACAGTTTTCATTTTTGAACTTAATATGTTTAATTTGGTGGTTGACGTCTTCAATCTTCACATTTGGGCATTATGTGAAAGACACATATTTTTTTGTTTCCTCCACCAACACTTCCTTTGCTTTGCCCTTCCCTTTGCTTGAATCCAACATACAAGTTCCCTATTGAGTCAGCATGTGATGATGTATTTATGAGGCAGTTTAAGGGTAGTGTTTGTGATGGTGTGGTTGTGAGGAAGTTTGAGGGTAGTTTTTTTGAGGGTGTGTTTGTATTTGTGAGGGAGTTTGAGGGTATTTATGAGGGTGTATTAATGGCACTGGGATGTCAAAAATAGCTTTGTCCAATGCACCTAAATTAATCACACATGAATCACATCATAGCCTTAAATGCTATTCTAGAGTATCCACCTATACATTTTCTTTCAAAACTCGTGTGTGTGTGAAATGAATATGTAATTTAAGCATTTACTCAACGGAATCCACATTCATTTAGTTATCCAAATTCAATTTTTATGCAAAACTCACCAAGGGTTTCTCTCGACGATGAATCACACCATGAATTTGAACTGTCAAAATACAGTATACAAATTACTAATAAAATCAAAATGTATTCAATAGCATTTAAAGATGTATCAATTATGTGTCAATCGATGTTTGGTGGATAATACAAAAATTTACAAAATTCTATAAAACTTTGTAAAGTTTTGCAAAAATTTATAAATTTTTGAAAAACATATAGCAATCAATTAGAATGTGGTGGATCAAAAAAAAACTCATCAAGGTCTACCCTAGCACATTTGCGTTTATACATCAGTTGTTGATAAGATTGTTTTTGATATATTTTTTGGCATCCGGTCCAAAATCTTCCATAATCTCAATCATTTTAACGTGATGATTCACTAACTCTACAAATATTTTTCGTGATCAATTTTTTGCAATCTTCATTTTTCGTCTTACCCTTGGTGTCTGCCAGTTAGGTGAAAAGGTGTTCACGTTTGAAAGAAATTGGGTTTATAGAGAAATCTCATATAAATTTATTTTCACCTTACTCCTTGCAAATATGTATTTTTGCGTAACCCCATACAAACATACGCACACCTACACCAACTAGGTTTTTGATTTTTTTTTACTATTGTCTAAACAAAAAGTAAGCATGTCTTGAAAGTCGGTCTTCATTTTATTCTTAATTTTGTTTTTGTCTTACCCAAAGGAATGCCAATAGAGTTGGTATTTAGAGTATAGTTTTAATTTTGGTAACTTAGTAATACCTAATCCAATATGGTAGACACTATCAAATTATAGGTCAAGATATGATACTAATTTTAAATAGTTTGATTAGGAAAAATATTGCAATATTGAAATAAATTTTAGTGTAGCACTAAAAATTATTATTTTTGTAAAATAAATTCAAAATCTCTATACAAATTACAAATAAAATAAATATATTTTTAATAGCAATTAAACATATAAAAATTATGTACCAATCGATGTTTGCTGCATCATGCAAAAATTTATAATTTATGTATCTCGTGTGTAAGTACCACATAGACCGAAGATGAAATTAGTAACCTGAAAAAGTATAATTGATTCATAGCCAAATTCATACTATTGTCTCTCAATTCATGTTGTGTAGCGATCACCTCTCACATAACAAGCAATCATAATCAAGCATCAGGTATCCTTGATCAGTGGCTAAGTATCATTAAACAAACATGAATATTTGAGGGTATTTTAATATTTTTACAAATTTTGTAAGACATTAATTGTGGCACTTCTATTTCAAGTTGAGGGTGATTCACTGCAACAATTTAAACTACAAAGCGGTCAAGTGCAAATGACAAGAAAACTTTATTCATTTTTCATAGACGGTGACAAACTGATGATACACAAAACAAGTTATGCATAATCAAATCAGTCGAGTGTATGATGCAAGGTAATTAATTAAGCAATTAATAATAAAAGATAAGATTGGGTGGTTAGGTTGAGGTGACCTAATCACTAATGGCGGTGGTGGTGGCCAAAGCACTTTATTAATGAGAGAATAAAGTAATGGGTGTGAGAGAGAGAGAGAGAGAGAAAGAGAAAGAGAGAGAGGGAAAGAGCAAAAGTAAGTTCAAGATGTGGTGTGTGAGAGATATTCTCATGTGTAAAGGACATTTAATTTATAGACACATAGCCCTAGTTAAGGAGGTGGCGTGAAAGTCAGGCTACTAGTATTTCGGAGAGAATAGCTATAATTAAGGATAGGTGTTATCTCCGAGAAACTGTTATCCCGATAGTTACTCTCCACATGCGTTGACTTTTCTAGGTCCCTTGAACTTTAGACTAGGTTGAGGCCATGAGCCGAACTTGACTTGCCTTTTTGGCTAATTAGGTTTAACCCACAAATTGGGCTTGAGCCAGCTAGATCTCGTCTTGCCCGTAATTCTTATCTTGTGAAGAATTTATTTTCTTGAGGTCAAGGTTTAAGTCTCCCCCTCCCCCTCCCCCTCCCCCTCCCCCAAAAGCGAAAAAAAAAGGTTCTATACAACATAAATTTAAGGGTAAACCACATAAATGACCCTGAACTTTATTTGTTTTAAATTACACCCAAAACTTTTAATTTTTTTTAATGTTCCCCTAAACTATGTAAGTCATTTTAATTTGGTCCTTATGTTAGATTCTGGAATTAAATGGGGGTAAAACTCTAATGTTGGCAACTAGAGGAGGGCATTTTAATCCATTCAGGTAATATGTATAGTTGGGTTGAAGAAAGGGCGTAAAGTTTAGGGTGTAATTTAAAATAAAGACTGAAGTTTAGGGATGTTAGAATTGAATGATTTTGGATGATAAAAAGTTAAAATGATAGATAAAACATTATATTTTTTAAAGAAGAAAAATATGAAGGATAAAAAATTAATTTTTCTTTCAACACACCAAAAAAATATCCCTCTAAAATTGAAAGAAAAGTGAATGATAAGTTAATTATATGTGTTGAAATGTATATTATTTTATTTTATATCCTTTATATTTATTATTTATTACGTGCACATCTATATCTTTTTTCATCTTTTCATCTTTTTCATCCTACCAAACACAAAAGACTTAGTTTTCCTTACATTTCATCAGTCCCTTCTACCAAAATACAAAAGAGGGAAGGAAGAATTTCTCTCTCAAATGATAGAGAGTGTTTCACTCCTACTTTCTATCTTTCCTATCAAATACATCACAAGAGGTAGATAGCTTACACAAATGAGAGAGGGAGGGTCTGTCAAGGTGATAAAGCATCTGTCTCACACTTTCACTTTCCAAACACAATTTCATTAGTCTTTTACACTGCTTTCTGCACAAGAGAGAGAGAAGCTGAGACATAAATAACTTACCCAAATGAGAGCAAGGGTCTGGCCTGATTATAAAGCCTTTGTTTCACTTCCCAACAGAAACTATTTCATCAATGTCATTTACACGCTTTCTGTGCAAGGGAGAGATGTTGAGAAATAGATAATTTACCCAAATTATAGAGGAAGAGTTTGTACGATTGATAAAGCTTATGTTTCACACTGTCACTTACCACCGAGAAAGTCATAAAGGTTTCTTTTTTGTATTTAGACGCTACTGTAACAACTCGAAATGCCATAATAAATTTAGCCCCAACAACTCTCTAAGAGCATCTCCAACAGGCTAGGTAAACCCCTCTCCTTAGCTATTTTAGATAGCTTCCTCCTAAAATTTGGCTTCAAGAGACTAGCTATTCACTTCTCTATTTCTCGTAACTCCATTTTCACTGGCTATATCTAGCTAGTCATTTCTCCCTCGCTGGCCCTCTCTCTCTCACTGAAGCTCCACAACACGGAAGGCTTCATCGCATCGCATCTGAAGCTTCATCACAGAAGGCTCTCCACATCACCACCGACTAAAGCTTCAGCACAGAAGGCTCCACCGCCTCTCTACAACACCACCTACTAAACTTTCATCGCAGAAGGCTCCACCAGTATAGATTGTTCCATAGTTTACATTTGATTGGGAGAAGGATCTGATTAACAAGTTCAATGTTCATTAGTTTTGTGGCCACGTAGCATAGCACATACCCTCTTCTCCAATTGTTCAATTGATGAATCAGTTTTGTGATGTGTTGTTTGGATCTGTATGTCCTTGTGTAGAAGATAGTGGTGGCAAGTGGTGTTGGGAGTGGCGGTGGCAGGTGTTGTTGGAAGAGGTGGTGGCATTGTCTTCGTCACCAAGCTCTGTAAAACCCCCTCTAAAAATTCAATAACACCCCTCCAAAAATTCAATAAAATCCCAAAAATTTCAATAAAATCTCCTAAAAATCCAACAAAATCTTCCAAAAATCCAGTAAAAATCCCCCCCTCAAAAAAATTCAGCAAAACCCTTAAAAAATCTTGATAATTTGAAGTGATTTTGTTTTGAATTTTGTGATTTAATTTGAAAGAATTTGGTTTGGTAGTAGTAATTTTTGGGAGGTCGATTCTCTCTTGTAGCCTATAATTGATTAAATTTGTATAATGTATAGTTGAATTACTGTTTTTTGAATTTTATTATTGAAAGTTAGTTAAAATTAATTGAAGTGATTAACTAAATAAGATAGCTTTAGTGGAATGAATTTGAAAAAGTGATTAATTAAAGTAGATAATGTAATATTTAAATATATTTTAAGTAGTTATTTTGGATAATATTGTTGGAGATGCTCTAACAACCCAATATTGCACCTGCACACCAAACCTCTTTAAATAATTGAATCATTGTCATAGTTTTTCACTTCAAATTTCATCTTATACATGTGTACCTACCTCACTTGGATTGGTAAAACTGAAATGCCATACCCAATATATTAAGCTCCACCAACCCTCAGACAACACATTATTGCATTTGCACACTAAATCTCCCTAATTAATACAGCAATAACCGATCCAATGCATGAATCATTGTTATAGTTTTTTACTTAATTTTTTTGTCTTATATAAAGGTACCTAAATTACATGGATTAAGCCTACATATATGTGTCTATTTTAATTTTTCTGAATGATTGTTTTCACCATCTATCTAATATTAAGTTAAATTATTAATTTATAAAAATACAACAATGGTCAAGATTAATCCAATTTTCATATATTTTGATTCAATGGTACAAAATTCATCCCAAAATGTTAGAATTATCCTTCTTCTTCTTTTTTTGTAATTTGACTTCAAAAAAATTGTATTTTGAACCACAAATATAATTAACTTTAGTATGTGCCTTCTTCATTATCAGACTCAAATCCTAAAAGAAAACACANAAAAAAAACATATACTCGCATGCGGGAAGGTGAAAATACATATTTTTATGGAACTTGACTCTAAATAGATAGAAACATATTGCATTATATATAATTTCTCTCAAAAAGCAAAGACCAATTGATCTTAATGGCGAACAAGGGAAAGATAAAAAGCTAGCAATTTTGTCTTGAAAGATATTTGTAGAGTTAGGGATGAAAAAAACCATCACGTTGGACTTCATTTCAGAAAATATATCCAAAGCAAGCGTATCAATAAGATTTGGATAAAACAAGAACATCATCATGATGCCTCTTGATGTACAAAAGAAAATTACTAGGATAGACTTTGGTGAGTTTTTTGTGATCCACCACCTTCGGATTGATTGTTACATGTTTTACAAAAAAAATATAAATTTTAAAAAATTTGCAAAGTTTTGTAAACTTTGTAAATATTTGCATAATCCATCAAACATCAATTGCTACGTGTTTGATACATTTTTAACTTCTATAGAAAATATATTAATTTTATTAGTAATTTGTATACTCTATTTTAAGGGTTCAAATTTATTTTATAAAAATAATAATTTTTAGTGCTACACTAAAATCTATTTCGATACCGTAATATTTTTTTAAATCAAAATATATTAAATTAGTATCATAGCTTGACCTATAGCTCTCTAGTTGTCTTGATTGGACTATATATATTATATAATATGTTATCCAATCCATTTTTTTTATCAGAAGTTATTCAATCCATTAAGGATATAGTTTTTGCACAAAAAATCAAAATTCTTCCATGCATCTACTACAACAACAACTTGGCGGTCAGTCTCATTCTCACTACAAAAAGGAGCATTCTCACGAAGAAACCCTGAAGGTTTCAACGTAGTGAGATAAAACAACATTTTCTGTTGTAATCTCTTGAAATCGTTCCCATTGAAGTTTTCGGGTTTCTCCCATGAGACACATGAGTAGGAACAGAAATACGCACCATAGACACAACATGATTTGTACTAACATAAACATTACTATCATTTGCAGCCATTTCGGATAAACAAAAATTACAAACTATTCAAAAATAGGTAAACAATAACACTTTTTTAAAGCAAGTTATTAAAACAGAGACAATTTATGTTACTGTTCAATGTCACTGTTTTGAAGTTATTGTTTTAAACGTTTCTATATGGTGTCTCTGTTTAGTGTAACTGTTTGAATTAAACACATAAATAAAACATGCAATGTTTCACAAAATTTCCAAGTCTTTTTCAAAATATAACAGATTGTAAACATAGGTTTTAACAACTTGCAATATTTTTAGAACAATTTAAAATGTTAAACATGTATAAGAAAGTCAACAAGCAATTTGACAAACACTGAAATCTATCATAAGATTGTTGTTTGTGGTACTCCAAATATCATAAAATCAGTTATTGAAATTTTTGATTTGAACCATGTAAAGAATTACATAGAAACGAGTTACTCTAACAAAATAGTAACAGTAAAGAGTTACACAGAAACGAAAGAGTTATAGCAGTCTAACGAAACAGTAACATTAGAACAGGTATTGTTATTGAAGTTGATGTAGATCAAGGCTAGTGTTTGACACTATTTCCTTAAGACAGATTTCACCCCTACACACGATGCTTATGAAATATCGAGCATCTATCTCCAACGATACAATGATATTTACACAAGCAAAAGTAGCACTCTAATCTACTCGTCTAATGAACCAACAATTGTGTTGTGTACTCTCTAAAGGCACTTAATGACGAAATGCAAGCTGTCTTAATGCCTTAATGGACTGATGAATGAATGAATAAATGCTTACATGAATTAGGTATTTATAGACACTTTAGTGACTTTTCGGACAGTCACTATACTAAAAGACACAATCCAGAATAAAAACACAACAGCCAGTAAACACCTTGCGTAACTTTTCTCCATTAATAGACACCATTTAAAAATTTCAGACTGGACTCAAAATTTTGGATTAGAGTGAAGCAAAAATCCGAACCAGTGCGATTCTAAAGATACCTAAATTAAATTTTGGGTCATAAATTCTCGCTCATTTAATTAAATAAATTTTCTCCAAAAAGATAAGACTTAGTCTAAACCGTACATGAGCCCGGCCCGGCCCGGCGGGTGGCCCGAGTACCCGTGTGTAGTCAAACCGAAGGCATGTAAGTGATCGCTTCGCTCATAAAATTTTGGTACCCCTTGGGGCTCAATCCCATAGGGCAAACTTAGCCTATATATGCTCATGTTGAATTTCTTCCTTAACCAATGTGGGATTGATGTCTAATCCCACATTGCACTTTCTTTATTTTCATATTTCAAGTGGGTCACTTGGAGCCTATTTTCTCATTCATTTCTTACTCGATTTGTGCATGTGAATATACTACATTATTCTCCTCACAAAATAGAATCCGAATCCACAAAATTTTATTCAAAATAACTATCGGTCCCACTTTAATTTAGGCTCAAATTCGATTAAAAATTCAATTTTTACACTATTTTTTTTTTGGTCCAACAAAAGGTAGAAGGATTTTATTACATAGCAGGAGAAGAAACATCAAGAGTGAATATACTAACAATTAAGCATAAAGACAACCCGAATGATCATTCACTCTCATCACCACCACCTTTTTCTTTTTTATCCCTTCAAAGCCAGAAGCACCTTCCCACGTGCCACGCCCCCTTTCTTTGGGGATGTTTAAGTGCAAGTCTGTCTGCCGAGTGACAATCTAGCTTTTGAACACCTTTTTGTACAAGCTTTTGATTGACATATTTAATAGTATCCTTAGTACAGTTTTCATTTTTGAACTTAATATGTTTAATTTGGTGGTTGACGTCTTCAATCTTCACATTTGGGCATTATGTGAAAGACACATATTTTTTTGTTTCCTCCACCAACACTTCCTTTGCTTTGCCCTTCCCTTTGCTTGAATCCAACATACAAGTTCCCTATTGAGTCAGCATGTGATGATGTATTTATGAGGCAGTTTAAGGGTAGTGTTTGTGATGGTGTGGTTGTGAGGAAGTTTGAGGGTAGTTTTTTTGAGGGTGTGTTTGTATTTGTGAGGGAGTTTGAGGGTATTTATGAGGGTGTATTAATGGCACTGGGATGTCAAAAATAGCTTTGTCCAATGCACCTAAATTAATCACACATGAATCACATCATAGCCTTAAATGCTATTCTAGAGTATCCACCTATACATTTTCTTTCAAAACTCGTGTGTGTGTGAAATGAATATGTAATTTAAGCATTTACTCAACGGAATCCACATTCATTTAGTTATCCAAATTCAATTTTTATGCAAAACTCACCAAGGGTTTCTCTCGACGATGAATCACACCATGAATTTGAACTGTCAAAATACAGTATACAAATTACTAATAAAATCAAAATGTATTCAATAGCATTTAAAGATGTATCAATTATGTGTCAATCGATGTTTGGTGGATAATACAAAAATTTACAAAATTCTATAAAACTTTGTAAAGTTTTGCAAAAATTTATAAATTTTTGAAAAACATATAGCAATCAATTAGAATGTGGTGGATCAAAAAAAAACTCATCAAGGTCTACCCTAGCACATTTGCGTTTATACATCAGTTGTTGATAAGATTGTTTTTGATATATTTTTTGGCATCCGGTCCAAAATCTTCCATAATCTCAATCATTTTAACGTGATGATTCACTAACTCTACAAATATTTTTCGTGATCAATTTTTTGCAATCTTCATTTTTCGTCTTACCCTTGGTGTCTGCCAGTTAGGTGAAAAGGTGTTCACGTTTGAAAGAAATTGGGTTTATAGAGAAATCTCATATAAATTTATTTTCACCTTACTCCTTGCAAATATGTATTTTTGCGTAACCCCATACAAACATACGCACACCTACACCAACTAGGTTTTTGATTTTTTTTTACTATTGTCTAAACAAAAAGTAAGCATGTCTTGAAAGTCGG